ACGACAGCATTTTTTATACCATTTGTTAAAGTTTGGAACTTGAATGTCCCTCAAAGGCCCATGTGTTTCAGGCTTAGTCCTCAACCTGTGGCACTACTAGGAGGTGGGGGAACCTTTAGAAAGAGGGGTTTTAGGTCACCGGGGGCATGATCACAAAGGGGATGTTGGGCTCTCCACCCTTTCCTCTTTCTTTGCTTCCTGGCTACTGTAAGGTGAACAGGCCTCCTTTGCCATGTGCTCCTATCATGATGTACTATGTGAAAACAGGCCCAAGCAACAGGGCCAAATGACCATGAACTGAAACCTCTGAAACTGTGAGCCAAAATAAACCCTTCCTCTTTATAGTTGTTTCTCTCAGGCATTTTGTTCCAGTGATACAGAGCTAACTGCTTCAATCTACAACTGCACAATGAACTGGCCCAACTTAAAGAGTAGATAGGTAGAGTTCTGACTGCCTATCTATACTCCTGAAAGGCTACCATGACGTAAATGTATCACTCTCGCATACCTATGGTTTTAAGGTGAATACTTTCTAATTCATTTACTATTTAGAAAAGAAGAGAAAAGAAAGAGACTTGGATTCTGCTTTTGCAATTTCCTGGCTTTGTGATCTCAGTCAGTCCCTTAACTTTTCCAAGCTTCAACTTCCTGAAGAGTATATAAAATAAGAGGGTGTAAGGCACCAACCCTTGTATGTAACAAATACTCAATAATGCTTTATGAAATCTATACAGTAAATGTCTATTGAGGTATAATTTCCGGGTCCCTTATCTCTTCTTCTGATAAGACTTCATTTGACTGTTCTCAGTACTGCATGACTTTAAACTTATCCTTCTTGCACCCTCTGTCACATTAAAAATTCTGAACCCATAAACATGAAAGAACTCCTGAAGGAACTTTGATGTTTATAACATCAACATTTGGGCTGGGAGCAAGGCTCAAATGGTAGAGTGCCTGCCTATCAAGTGCGAGGCCCTGAGTTCAAACTCCAATACTGCCAAGAAAGAAAGGAAGGAAGGAAACAGAAACACAATATGTTAAGCATTGCGTGTGCTTTTTTGTTTTGTTATTTAATCCTCATAACAGTCCAGTTAGGTTCATACCATTATTGCCTCTGTTTTGCAAGTGAAGAAACTGAGGCACAGACAGGCTAAAGTCATTTTCCCAAAGTGACAGAGCTAATAAGAATCAGGCCTACAATGTAAACTCAGGCCTGAGGAATGGAGTGCCTGAGCTTCATCACTACTCTGTAGTGCAAGATTTTTTGGCCTGAGTGTGGTGGTTCACACCTGTAATTCCAGTACTCATGGGGTGGAGGCAGGAGGATCTCAAGTTTGAGATCAGCTTGGACTCCTTAGAGAGTTCAAGTCCAGCCTGAAGTACATAGCAAGACCCTGTCTCAAAAAATAATTAATTAAAAATAACAAATATCTAAATACTTTTGTGTTTAAATAGAAAATAAAAAACAGATTTTTATACACTTTTGTTAAACAAATCAGAACCAAGTATGGTGGTGCACACCTGCAATACCAGTACTTGGGAGGCTGAAGCAGGGGGATCACAAGTTCAAGACCAGCCTAGTCTATATAGCAAGACCCTATCTTTTAAAAAAAAAAATCAAAACGAAATGTTATCATTCGCTGGTAAATGGATGGAATTGGAGAACATCATTCTGAGTGAGGTTAGCCTGGCCCAAAAGACCAAAAATCGTATGTTCTCCCTCATATGTGGACATTAGATCAAGGGCAAACACAACAAGGGGATTGGACTATGAGCACATGATAAAAGTGAGAGCACACAAGGGAGGGGTGAGGATAGGTAAGACACCTAAAAAACTAGCTAGCATTTGTTGCCCTTAACGCAGAGAAACTAAAGCAGATACCTTAAAGCAACTGAGGCCAATAGGAAAAGGGGAACAGGAACTAGAGAAAAGGTTAGATCAAAAAGAATTAACCTAGAAGGTAACACCCATGCACAGGAAATCAATGTGAGTCAATGCCCTGTATAGCTATCCTTATCTCAACCAGCAAAAACCCTTGTTCCTTCCTATTATTGCTTATACTCTCTCTACAACAAAATTAGAAATAAGGGCAAAATAGTTTCTGCTGGGTATTGGGGGGGGAGAGGGAGGGGGCGGAGTGGGTGGTAAGGGAGGGGGTGGGGGCAGGGGGGAGAAATGAACCAAGCCTTGTATGCACATATGAATAATAAAAGAAAAATGAAAAAAAAATAAATAAAAATAAAATAAAATAAAAATCAAGCCAGATGTGATAGCTCACACCTGTAATCATGGCTATTGGGAAGGGGGAGATTGCAAGGATCATAGTTTGAGGCTAGCCAGAGCAAAAAGTTCTAAAGACTCCATCTCAACCAAGAAGAAGCTGGGCTTGGTGGTACATGCCAGTCATCCTAGCTACTCAGAAGCATAAATAGGAGGTTTGCCATCCAGGCTGGCCTAGGCATTAATTCAAGTCACTAATCAAAAAATAACTAAAGCAAAAAAGGCTAGAGGTGAGGCTCAAGTGATAGAGCTCCTGCCTAGCAAGCACAAGGCCCTGAGTTCAAACCCCAGTACTGCCAAAAAAGATTTTAAAACAAAATTTTTTTTTAAGTTATCACAGACTTACCTGGATATTTAGTCACAAATATCACAGGTCTCTTAAGAAAGTAATTTTCAGAACTGTTAGATCATCGTCTACTGACTCTACTCCATATTCAGGCAGGGCCACAATTAACCAGCTCAGGCCTGATAAAATTCCATAACTTCTCCTCATGATTCATTCCAAACTTTAAGTCAGGAAATTTCAAACTTGTAAGTAATTTAAATACTTTATGCGGCAGGCTGTGTCCTAGGTTGATAAACCTCAATATTTCCATTTTTCCTGTGCATTGACTCAATACATAGCCCAGACTGGCCTCCAACTTTCAATCCTCCTGCCTCAGCCTCCTGAATGCTGGGATTACACGTGTGTGTCATCAAACTCAGCTTCTTACTCAACTATTAAATAAATATATATTAAGCATGTCCAGAACATAATGAGAAAAGAAGCAATCAAAAGATTGGCCACCAGGGCCTATTTGTGTTGGGGAAGGAAGGTGCGGTGAGACTGAGAAGAGGAGCTACAAATATGGAAGTGGGCCCAGGGTCCCAGACCAGCACTCAGTAGCCCATTCATGGGTTTAACCATATAATGCCAGAATAGCCCAACATAAACTCAACAAAATTCAACATAACCCAACAAAAATTCCAGAGCAAACCCAGGGAAGGTGAGGCAGAAGAATGAGGAAGTAGAGTTTGGTCGACATGGGGTGGAGACTGAGCAGATAGAATGTCATAAAAGTCCCTCCTAGGACATGCCAGGTTCGGGAGACATCTGGTTGGGAACATCCTTGGAACCCCCTTTTTGTGGATAACTCAATAGCTAAATAAAAGAGGATGTTTGTGTAGAATGGAAAGTCCCAGAGTCAGTCCTAGGCAGGAGCTGGGGCAAGGGACCCTGTCCTCAGATGACCTTTTGAGACATTCCCCACACACACACCCCTACTTAAAGCTTCACACATACAGACTGCATCTTGTGCATGTAATTACAGTTCAAAGCATTATGGGAAGGGACATGTGCAGTCAAAAATAAGTTCTATAACATCCTCCTGTCAATCAAAGTTGTCAAAAAGGCCTTTAAGCCCACCCACCCTGCAGTCCAGCTTCAGCCTTAAATTACAACCCAGAAAGAGAATCAGGGTCTTGAGCTGCTTCCGTCAGGTCCACTCCAGTCTGTGGGAGTGTATAATTCCACTTCCAATAAATCTACACTTTGCTTGCTACTCCTGTGTGCTTTGTTCAGTTTGCCAAGAACCTGGAACACTGGCACACCCAAGAGGGGCTCAGACCACCACCACCCCTTCTCAGGTACGAAGGGGAAATCAGTCAATCCCAAGCAGCAACGCCTGGAAATCTTACTCTTTCAGTTTCCTGAGTCCTAAATGCATCTGTTACTGCCAGGTTGCCAATTTCCTTATGTAAAAGTTTTTCATTTATGTGGGCTGGAGGAATGGTTCCAGGGTTAGAGTGCCGGCCTAGCAAGTGCAAGGCCTGGAGTTCAAACCCCAGAACAGAAAGAGAAAGTTTTTCATTTTCCAAAAGCTTTAATTGAGTGGACTATAACCTTCCTCGCCTTCAAACAAAATGACTTCAGTAACTGAGAAACGCCCTTTAGACTACGAGATAAGTCTTGGGTTTTCGTCCTGGTTCCACTGTGCCTTCAGCCCGTATTCCCTGCGCACCTAAGCCCCGGGGCGCTGGTGGAACGAACCCCTGCCCTCCAACGTGGTCTCTGCAGGGACACGATGACGTGCACCGGGCCCCGCGCTCTGCGACAGGTGCTGCCAGCCCGGAGGCTCGGGATGCGTCCATTCACTGCTGTCACCCTGGCACCTCACCGAGCTCAGGCTCTGTTCCTTAAAGCTGGAACAATAACTCCTTGTTAATTACTCTATGTTGCTGTGGGGACCTCAAAGGCCAAAGCGCCTACACGAGTATAAAGGACAATTCAAAGTAGGGATTGTTGACTAACGACGTCATGGTGCTAATCTGCACATTTCAAAGATTGTCGCTTTCAGTTGCGCGCCAGGAACTCGGCGAGCAGAGAGCAGAGAGCTGGAACGTGGCAACTTGCTACTACCTTCTCCCGAAGAAGAAAAAGAACCCAGGCTCAGCCGACTGTGGAGGGGAATCCGGAGCAGTCTCTGAAGTGAAAACCTCGGAAGGCGATAACCACGGCCACGCGTGTCCTGCGCTCGCGCTCCAGACGCTGGCCCCACGCCACCGCCAGCCAGCCAGGTCATCATCTCCTACGTGAGCGAAATCCTTAGACCCAGGGCCGACTCACGGGCGCCCCCTGGCGGCCGTGGAGGAACACTAACCGGCCAGAGAGCGAGGGGCGGAGCGGACGAACCAGGGTGAGGTAAGGGGGTGTGGTCTTTCCGCGTGAGCTGATGACGTCATCGAAGCGACAGGCTGGGAAGGAAGTAGCGTGGTAAGGGGTGTGGCGGTTTTTGCGGTTGCACTGGAGTTCGGAAGAGTACGGAGCGCCTGGAGGGACAGTCTGGTACGCGGCCCCCGCCTCGCAGTGCGCGCACCGGGCCGGAATTGGTCCGCGGTGCTCCGGAGTCCGGCCGCAGCATCTCGTCTCCCCCAGCCGGCCCACTCCGCGAGCGAGAAAGAAACCTCCTTCTGTCTCATCCCCTGCCCACGGGCCCCCCAGCCGGTCCGAGCCGAGGCTCTTGGCGCTCTTGGGACGCGCGACCCTCTCTCGGAGGAGGGCGCATAGGGGCGCGAGGTGGGGCGGGGTGTCCAGGGAGGGAAGGGCATTGCACAAAGGACGCAACCGCAGATCGGTAGCTGGAGGCCGCCACAGTAAAACGAGCCCCTGGCAATCATCTGCACCCCGGTTATGTTGGACTAAATCCGGGAGGCAGAATCCATCCCATCGCTGATGGGCCCGGGCGCCCTGGCCTAACTTTGCTGTCAGTCACCATAGTTTTTCCAGATCATTCAGTGTCCAGGAAATGAGTCCTGGTTCCTGAACGCAGTTGGACCCAGGAGGCCAGGCCCCCAGTCCGGGACTCTCCCTGTTTGTTCTGATCACGGGCTTGGGCGCCAAGAATGTGGAGGAGATGTGGCTCCGGTCTTGGTCAGAGCCCTATCCAGTTTAGATCCCAAAGAATAACTGGGAAGACGGATGACAAGCCAGAGAATGCTACCTTGGAACTCTGCGGCTTGCTGTCTCTGTCTCACTAGCGTCCGAAAGGAGTAAATGATGGTTTTCTTTGCAATGGCAGGCAATTAGAGCTGGGAGGTTCTGACCAGAAATACATAGCCACACTGCCTGTCGCTTGACGTGGTCTGTAATTTGGGCCAACGTGCCGCAGCTGCCTCTCTCCCCTTTACTAGTGTGAGTGGCTGAGTGATGCACATTCGTGTTCACAGGAAGGGAAGGCTGGGTTCTGAACCCTGCCCAATTGGCACGGTTCTGTCTTGGGCGGGCTGGAGCTGGAGCTGCTTCTTCACTGCGGTGAGGAGCACAGTTCCACAGTTAAGAAATGGGAATGTTGACTGAGAACAAGGATGAAATGAGTTGTATGTTAGCCTCATGTTCCTACAACAGCTGCCTGAGTCACTTTCAGGGAGTTCTGGCTGGTGAGCTCTCACTGGCATAGCTTCTCTCCTGCATGTCAGACCACATAATTTCCATGTCTTTTCTCTAGGATAAAGTTCACTGATGGCTCAGTTGGGAGCAGTTGTGGCTGTGGCTTCCAGTTTCTTTTGTGCATCTCTCTTCTCCGCTGTGCACAAGATAGAAGAGGGACATATTGGGGTATATTACAGGTAAGGCAGACAGGTGGAAGCTTGAAGCTTTCTGTTAAATGGCTCCCTCTCCCAGTCACTATATGTCAGAACCTGCTGAATATTGTGTTTATATTTTATTTAATTGGGGAGTCTTTTTAGATGGAGTTTTGTGTCATGACTATAGAAAAGGCAGTTTAACATATATAAACTTAAAACCTTTTTAATGTGTCAAGATGATGCTGTTGGTGGTAACTGATAAATGTGTTTAAGACAAAACCTAAAGGAACCAATGCTCTTTGCACCTGATCACTGAGATACCATTTTCTCCTGCATCCCGTGGAAGTCTTGTCTCCACACTACCAGGCTTAACTCTACCAAAAACCCAACCAAGTCCCAGTTCTTGATGGCAATTTGAGAGGATAGGCTACTGTGCTACTTTGAGAGACTCTTAAAATGAACACTTTAGAAAAAAAGAAAGGCTCTGCTGGTTGATGCATATCAATCAAGGCAAGCCTTAATATGGCGGCTCTTAAAATAAAGAAGCCCCTCATGCCACTCTGGAAGCACTTGGAAATCTTCAGTTTCCTTCTAGTAACCTCCATGAACAAGATTTTTGCTTTAAGTCTATGTGCCAGTATGTCTGGATTGCCAACCACAGGTTCTAAAACTCTGATTGAGATTAGGGATGTAGCTCAGTAGAAAAGCATGTACTTAGCATACTCGTCCTGGGTTCACTCCCTAGCACCAAAAAAAGAAAACAAGGTTAAAATTCTAATTGAGTTCCTCCTTCCTCTTTCTTCTCACCATCTGCTTACACGCCCCCCCCCCCCAAAAAAAGGCTTTTATCATTTACATGCAACTTGATTATAAAGGTAACTCTACATATAGCCCAAAAAAATATATTTTAAATGACTTGTAAAGTATATTTAAGATTTTTCTTTTGGTTGGCCATGTCCCTGGACTCCACCAACATGCAGTTAACTGATAACTGGATTACTGGATTTAACTGTCATGGATTGCCACAAGCTCAACAGATATGACAAAGTAAAACAGACTTCCTCTCTTAGCTTGAGTGTCATCCAGAATTCTGCTATCTTTATTTCACTTAGCCTGGGTGCCTATTTTTCTCATTGCAAAAGCATAACCAGTGGTTTTACATTTATTTTGCCATCAGGCTTCCTAGAATATTAGAGTTGAGGTGAGAGAAAGAAAGGGATCGTGGACATGGCTCTGGCACATGTCACTATATTAAATGTCATAGGCTGAAGAAAAGGTTGGCCCACATGGTCTTGATCTAATGGATCCCTCTTGCCACAATGAACCTGCCTCTCTCTCCCTCCTCTGCAGAGGTGGTGCCCTGCTGACATCCACCAGTGGTCCTGGCTTCCATCTTATGCTTCCGTTCATCACATCCTACAAATCTGTACAGGTATACTTGGCTTGTGTGCTGTGGATGGACGACTGCAAATTTGGGTTGTTGAATAATAGATGATTTGAAATTATGGAGCCATTGGTTGAGTAAAATGCCTTTTCAGAGAATGACTGAAGGATCTTGTGCACACACATACATACACACAATGAGGCTCTTAATGCACTGTTTGATTATAGAAATAGGTGAATGGAGTCATTGCCTTGCCTTGGTGCTTCATCCCTAGGTGGAAATTATTTATTCACTTTCAAGACAGAGCCAAAAAAGAATATGTTCTGAATGTTTAGAAGACAAGCGTATGTATCTGTGTATTTTTTTTTTTTAACCTTTGCAATGCTGAGGTTTGAACTTAGGATGTGTGCTTTCTCAAGGCTTACTCTACCACCTGAGCCACACCTCCAGCAGTTTTGGCTTTTAAGTTATTTTTCAGGACCTCATTTTTTGCCAAGGCTGGCCTGGGACTATGATCCTCCTACCTGTCTTTCCACATATGTGGGATTATGGACATGAACCACAATACCTGGAGTGTTTGTTGAGATGGGTTTTGCCCAGGCTGGTCTCAAACTGCGATCCTCCTGATCTCAGCTTCTTAAGTTGCTGGGATTATAGGTGTGAGCCACTGCACCCAGCCTGTTTGTATATTTTAAACTATAGGTTACCACAATAAATGGAAATAAAGCCTGGTAAATTTGCTGGTTCTTGTTTGAACTTCAGAAATGTGAACATAATTTGGGGGAGGAAAGTTGATTGGCTAATAAGATCTAATAGTAAGATCAGTTATAACAGATTTTAGCCTGGCCAAGTTAGTCTACACATCTCTGAAGTATATCCTGCTAAGAAAAATCAAAAAAAAAAAAATACTAAGAATAACTTTTAAACCGACCCAGCAAGGGGTCTGTGGTGTTGCCTAGTGGTAGAGCACTTTGCCTAGCATATACAATACCCTGGGTTTGATCCCCAGCACCACAATAAAATAAACAGACCCAGCAAAATGTCCCATGATGCCTAATAATCTTTTTTCCCTATAAATTTCTCCTGCAGTTTACCATGCTTTAAGACTGTCAGAATGCATTCGGATACATTGTCTCACTTGAGTCTTGCAGTAGCCCTGAGAATGGGCTGAACAGGAGTTACCATCTGAAATAGGTTAAGTAAGGAATCTGCTGTGTCAAAACTAGTAAATGGAAGAGATAGAAGTAAAAAAGTCTTAAGACTCCCATTCCAGAGTCTTTTTCACTAAACCATTATTTCTCTGCATGTTCATATGTCATATGACTAGGGTAGGTATCTTGCTGGTTTAGAATCAAACCCTATAACAAAGAATTAGGTGGGATATATTTGTGTTTAACAAAGGCAAAACTCTACTCACACAGGTAGCCAAGGACAAGGGCATTTGGAATTCTGAATAGTAAGTTACTTTGTTTGTCACTGCCCAGTCTCTCAGCATTTGATATTTCCTCTGTTCCCAGACCACACTCCAGACAGATGAGGTGAAGAATGTACCTTGTGGGACCAGGTAAGGTACCCACAATAAAACTGTTAGGCCCCAGGAAGTAAGAGGAAGGGTTATCTGGCTGGCTGCAGTAAGAGACAGTGACACCATAGTGGTTTTATGAAATTCCCTTCTGCCAAGCTTCCTACATTCTGTCTTGACCAGGTGGTGAAGTGCAGAAGAAAAGGTTCTGGAAGGTTTGGGAGGGACTGGGATGCCATGGTGAGAAAACAAATTTATAATGAATATTTGAGGGGAATGGCAGTGCTGAACTAAAGTAATAGTGAAGTCAAGGTGAGAAACATTCACGGTAAAATTCCACAGCAACCTTGTATGTTCTGAAAGCTTCTTGACCCTATTTTCCCTGAAAGAGGTTGCATGGGTCAGAAGACATTGCAGATTCAAAAGATATGAACTACTCTTTTCTTTCACCCTAAAAGTCTCACTTGTGGAGGTATTTTTAAGAGGTATGCCATCCCACATTAGGTTGTCACTCTGAACACTGCAAAGCTCCTATTGGGAGATGCAAGGTGCCTTCTAATACCCTCCAAATGTTTCTGCTCATTTTCTGCTAGTCACATGTCTTATGCCATCATCTTGTTCCAGAGTTTAGTAATGATTCCTTGTCCCTTTCCCTCCAATAGTGGTGGTGTGATGATCTACTTTGACAGAATTGAAGTGGTGAACTTCCTGGTCCCAAATGCAGGTACATCTTCCAGTTTATCCCCCACCTCACCAGCTTACTTTCCTCACGTGAGTCTGTCTGGACATCTCAGGAAGGAAGAGCTGCTATTCCAAGAAAGTTTGAGAAGTTTGGAGATTTGTGTCTTCTTAGTCTGAGCCCTGTCCTCTCCTTTCTTCCCAGTGTATGACATTGTAAAGAATTACACTGCTGACTATGACAAGGCCCTCATCTTCAACAAGATCCACCATGAGCTGAACCAGTTCTGCAGTGTGCACACGCTCCAAGAGGTCTACATTGAGCTGTTCGGTAAGGAAGTGTGCTTGTCCATGTCACTGCCCACCCCCCCCCACACACACACACCCCTAGCCCTTCATGCTAGGCTTCAGTAGCCCTATGTCTCCCCCTGCCTACTTCTGAGTTCCCTGCAGGATAAGATAAGTAGTGCACAAGAGCTGGCCACAAAGGGAACTCCTAGAAAATGATGAGCACAACTAGGCCTTGTGGCACATGCCTATTGTCACAGCATTTACTGAAACAAGAGGATCATGAGTTCAAGCTCAGCCTGGACTACAAAGCAAGATCCTGTCTCAAAAAGGAAGGGAGGGAGGAAGGAAGGAAGATGTTGAAGACAGTGGAAGAAGATCCTTAGAGTTATCAAGCTTCAACACAAGATTAATAGTAAAATAAAATATTTACTTCTGGCCTGAATCAGAGACTGGAACAAAAATGTACTCTTACTGTCCCTAAAATGTTGTTCTATAATGAAGACACAGTCCTTTCCAGAGAATTTTACAGGTTATACAGCCCAACATCCTTATTTTAAAATATATGTTCTGAGGCCGAACAAAGAAAGTCATAGAGCTAGGTGCTAGTTAATGGCAGAGCTGCAGCTAGAACCTTCCTCTCCTGCCATCTCTTGATTCTACATCACAGTGAGCAAAGGGCACCCAGGAGTGGGTGGTGAAAGTAGGAGGTTCACAGTGAATTCTAGGAGATGAGAATCATAGCTTCTTATAGCTCCTAGGACCCCTGTGGGTTTTGGTGTTTGTTTTTCTCACTCTGTCCTTATAGAGATGAATAGGAAAGTACTTTGGGTAAAAAGGATACACATACTAAAGTAGACACCTTTTGTCTGCTCAAAGTAAACACAGCCTGACTTCAGCAGCAAAAGAAGGAAACATTTTAATACTTGTTATAACTTCTTTTTGGTATTTTGTTTAAATCTACTTGTAGAAATTTCCTAGAAGCTGATGCTAAAAGTAAGTGCATTTTTCTACATGCTAGGACTAGAGCATGAGGGCTGGTGGAGTGCCTCAAGTGGTAGAGCACCTGCTTAGCAAGTGTGAGACCCTGAGTTCAAGCCCCAGTTCTGCCAAAAAAAAAAAAGAAAGAAAGAAAGAAAAAAGAGGACTGGACAGTGATTTTTTTTTTTCTTTGTGATGCTGGGGATGGAATCCAGAACCTCCCACTGGCAAGGCACGGCCATATTCCCAGTCCAGGAATACTTTTTATAAGTAGACAAAAGGAAGAGTCAAAACATTGTCTCATTATAATCAAGCAAGTAGCTTATTGCACTGGTTTAAGATTTAGGAAATCATCAGAATTACTTTTAATTTTTCTGCAGGAGAAAATGATCTAAACTGATTTTATGGGTTTGTATTCTTTTATCACTTTTGAATTCATTGTCCATCCAAGAAAAAACTGGTTAATTTGCTGTTGATCTTTTTACCTCAAACTATTAGAGCTTTATGAAGTTCATTTTCTTTATAGCTACTGTTTTAGGTCTTGTGCCATTAAATGAATATTTCCTTTTTTTTTTATTTTTGTTTTGTTTTTTTTTCATTTTTCTTTTATTATTCATATGTGCATACAAGGCTTGGTTCATTTCTCCCCCCCTGCCCCCACCCCCTCCCTTACCACCCACTCCACCCCCTCCCGCTCCCCCCCCCTCAATACCCAGCAGAAACTATTTTGCCCTTATCTCTAATTTTGTTGTAGAGAGAGTATAAGCAATAATAGGAAGGAACAAGGGGTTTTGCTGGTTGAGATAAGGATAGCTATACAGGGCATTGACTCACATTGATTTCCTGTGCATGGGTGTTACCTTCTAGGTTAATTCTTTTTGATCTCACCTTTCCTCTAGTTCCTGGTCCCCTTTTCCTATTGGCCTCACCCCTCCCTTGTGTGCTCTCGCTTTTATCATGTGCTCAAAGTCCAATCCCCTTGTTGTGTTTGCTCTTGATCTAACGTCCACATATGAGGGAGAACATATGATTTTTGGTCTTTTGGGCCAGGCTAACCTCACTCAGAATGATGTTCTCCAATTCCATCCATTTACCAGTGAATGATAACATTTCGTTCTTCTTCATGGCTGCATAAAATTCCATTATGTATAGATACCACATTTTCTTAATCCATTCGTCAGTGCTGGGGCATCTTGGCTGTTTCCATAACTTGGCTATTGTGAATAGTGCCGCAATAAACATGGATGTGCAGGTGCCTCTGGAGTAACAGTCTTTTGGGTATATCCCCAAGAGTGGTATTGCTGGATCAAATGGTAGATCGATGTCCAGCTTTTTAAGTAGCCTCCAAATTTTTTTCCAGAGTGGTTGTACTAGTCTACATTCCCACCAACAGTGTAAGAGGGTTCCTTTTTCCCCGCATCCTCACCAACACCTGTTGTTGGTGGTGTTGCTGATGATGGCTATTCTAACAGGGGTGAGGTGGAATCTTAGTGTGGTTTTAATTTGCATTTCCTTTATTGCTAGAGATGGTGAGCATTTTTTCATGTGTTTTTCTGGCCATTTGAATTTCTTCTTTTGAGAAAGTTCTGTTTAGTTCACTGCCCATTTCTTTATTGGTTCATTAGTTTTGGAGAATTTAGTTTTTTAAGTTCCCTGTATATTCTGGTTATCAGTCCTTTGTCTGATGTATATGGCAAATATTTTCTCCCACTCTGTGGGTGTTCTCTTCAGTTTAGAGACCATTTCTTTTGATGAACAGAAGCTTTTAGTTTTATGAGGTCCCATTTATCTATGCTATCTCTTAGTTGCTGTGCTGCTGGGGTTTCATTGAGAAAGTTCTTACCTATACCTACTAACTCCAGAGTATTTCCTACTCTTTCTTGTATCAACTTAAGAGTTTGGGGTCTGATATTAAGATCCTTGATCCATTTTGAGTTAATCTTGGTATAGGGTGATATACATGGATCTAGTTTCAGTTTTTTGCAGACTGCTAACCAGTTTTCCCAGCAGTTTTTGTTGAAGAGGCTGCTATTTCTCCATCGTATATTTTTAGCTCCTTTGTCAAAGATAAGTTGTTATAGTTGTGTGGCTTCATATCTGGATCCTCTATTCTGTTCCACTGGTCTTCATGTCTGTTTTTGTGCCAGTACCATGCTGTTTTTATTGTTATTGCTTTGTAATATAGTTTGAAGTCAGGTATTGTGATACCTCCTGCATTGTTCTTTTGACTGAGTATTGCCTTGGCTATTCGTGGCCTCTTGTGTTTCCATATAAATTTACAGTAGATTTTTCAATCTCTTTAATGAATGTCATTGGAATTTTGATGGGAATTGCATTAAACATGTAGATTACTTTTGGGAGTATAGACATTTTTACTATGTTGATTCTACCAATCCATGAGCATGGGAGATCTCTCCACTTTCTATAGTCTTCCTCAATCTCTTTCTTCAGAAGTGTATAGTTTTCCTTGTAGAGGTCTTTCACATCTTTTGTTAGGTTTACACCTAGGTATTTGATTTTTTTGAGGCTATTGTAAATGGAATTGTTTTCATACATTCTTTTTCCGTTTGCTCATTGTTAGTGTATAGAAATGCTAATGATTTTTCTATGTTGATTTTATATCCTGCTACCTTGCTATAGCTATTGATGATGTCTAGAAGCTTCTGAGTAGAGTTTTTTGGGTCTTTAAGGTATAGGATCATGTCGTCTGCAAATAGGGATATTTTGACAGTTTCTTTATCTATTTGTATTCCTTTTATTCCTTCTTCTTGCCTAATTGCTCTGGCTAGGAATTCCAGTACTATGTTGAATAGGAGTGGAGATAGTGGGCATCCTTGTCTGGTTCCTGATTTTAGAGGGAATGGTTTCTTTTTTCTCGTTAAGTATAATGCTGGCTGTAGGTTTGTCATATATAGCTTTTATAATGTTGAGGAACTTTCCTTCTATTCCTAGTTTTCTTAGAGCTTTTATCATGAAATGATGTTGGATTTTCAAAGGCTTTTTCTGCATCTATTGAGATGATCAAGTGGTTTTTGTCTTTGCTTCTGTTAATGTGGTTTATTACATTTATTGATTTTCGTATGTTGAACCACCCCTGCATCCCTGGGATGAAGCCTACTTGGTCGTGGTGAATAATCTTTTTGATGTGTTGTTGAATTCGGTTTGCCATTATTTTGTTGAGGATTTTTGCATCAATGTTCATTAAGGAGATTGGCCTATAGTTCTCCTTTTTGGAGGTGTCTTTGCCTGGTTTTGGGATAAGTGTAATACTGGCTTCATAAAATGTGTTTGGCAGTTTTCCTTCCCTTTCTATTTCATGGAACAGTTTAAGGAGGGTTGGTATCAGTTCTTCTTTAAAGGTCTGATAGAATTCAGCAGAGAATCCATCAGGTCCTGGACTTTTTTTTTGGGGAGACTCTTGATTGCTGCTTCAATTTCATTTTGTGTTATAGGTCTATTCAGGTGATTAATTTCCTCTTGGTTCAGTTTTGGATGATCATATTCTAGAAATCTGTCCATTTCTAAG